AAATGGATATTATTTAAAAAACTCTAATAATATTCTAGAATATTCTGTGTATATAAACATTTATATGAAATATATATATATATATATATATATATATATATATAATTGTAGAGCCAGAAGAGGAAATTATCGAAAAGTATATTTTTTAATCAATTTTTGTTTGTTTGTGTTTTATAGATGTCTGAATGAATATTTTCGCTACATTTCAGATAAGCTAGGTTTTGTAAAAAAAATTATATTTGTAAAATCTCAGCGATATTGAAATGAGTAATTCCAACGTTTCGTTTGGCAATCTGGTCCGAACTTCTTGAGGGAAATTAATCGAAATTAACATAACAGGTTTATATATAAAAGGAACATCTTTTGTTTTTAAAAACTTTGTCCAATCATGATTTATAAAACAAATATTAACAAGTATAATAAACAAAATTGTACGAGTTGTGATCAAAATTTGACCTCAGACTTACAAATATTGATCTACCTTTGTTAAACAATTTTGTTTATTATACTTGTTAATATTTGTTTTATAAATCATGATTGGACAAAGTTTTTAAAAACAAAAGATGTTCCTTTTATATATAAACCTGTTATGTTAATTTCGATTAATTTCCCTCAAGAAGTTCGGACCAGATTGCCGAACGAAACGTTGGAATTACTCATTTCAATATCGCTGAGATTTTACAAATATAATTTTTTTTACAAATGTCTACTTCTCACTCGGCGCCCAAATATTATAGAACTATTCTGTCAAATCTTGACTACAGTTCATTTGATTTAAGCTAGGTTTTCTTATTGCTTTTTTCGAAATTCATAAAAGAAACTAATAGCTTTGAATTAAACTGTCTCGTGCTCATTTAGATTTCAGTGGTGCTTCCAAAGATTTCGACGAAAACCCTTTCCACCATGTAGGTTGTAGCGGTTAATAATTACCCAAAGTTATTGACCACAGAAATCACTCAACATTGGATGCTGACCACCACTGTTTAAGTCGACTTGTTTAGCTGAGGGCTTTCGGTCAAGCATCCACGCTATTTGGTACTCCGTCGTATCACGTGCGGCACGATCACTAGCCAGCTAAGCGTTCGTATAACAACTCGCTTTGGTCCCGAAATATATCGCGTAATTTGGACGACCAAATACTGTCTTTTGCTTTGCTTTAGGTACGCCACAATTAATAAGTTAGAAGTTGATGTATAAGAGATTGCGTCAATAAACTTTTGTATTGTTCGCGAACGTCTATACCGTCAAACTCTAAACTGGTGAGCCCAACCGCGAACTTCATCTACGATAAATCCGCACATAACCCCGGTGAGTTCGTTCCTTTTTGTATTTGTTCTTGTAGCATATTTTATTTGACACACTTTTCGTCATGAGTGATCTTAGTCCCAAGGTCATTCGTATCCGCTCAACTCCTAAAACCATTCAGCTCGTACCATACTGGCCAGATAATGCTGAAACGTAGTTTCAGATAGCTGAAGCAGATTTTTGTGAGCATGGGATAACCGATCAACGTTCACAGTTCCTTGCAGTTATTCACGCCCTACCACGGGAATTCTGCAAGTGCGTAACTTTGCAGATGTCGAGTCCCGAGGTAAGTAACTCGTACGAGTTACTAAAAGCATCCCTCCTCAGGAGAAACGTTCTCACGGACCGACAACGTCTGGACGAATTATTTCGTAACATCGAGTTAGGAGATCAGTCAGCCGTAAGCATGCTAACAAAAATGAGAGGTTATTGGCCAAATTCTGTTCTATCAAGGACTTTTTAGAGAACTCTTCTTATCCAAGTTGCCACAGTCCGCTCAGACCGTACTTGTGACACTTCAGGGTGTTATAATAGATGACTTAGCCATTTCTGCAGATAAGATTCTAGAAATAACTAAACGGTCAGTTCCCGAAATATGCTCGATGACTAAGCAGACTTCGAGTGAGGATACTGAACTGATAGAGTCATGCAACTCCATCCAGCAGATGTTTAGGTCGAACATGCATTCTAACTCCTCCGACCGTCGTCCCAAGTCTCCTCAACGCAGAAACCCACGTGGTCGATCTAGGTCCAAGCCACGTTTCCTGAAAAACCCTGACTGGTGTTGGTACCACAACACCTATGGCCAAGAAGCGAAGTGTTGCCGTAAGCCTTGTAACTTTGGAAATGTCCCAAAGTCTGTGGGAAACTATCCCGCCGGCACGCGTTAGCGGCAACCGTCACCGGTGGCACTAGCCACCTTCTCTACATCCATGATGCGATCAGCCAGACTAGATATTTAGTCGACACAGGCGCCGAAGTCAGCGTCCTTCCTGCTACAGCAGCAGATCGACAGAAGGAGCCTACCTTCAACTTACAGGCTGCAAATGGAAAATCAATCGCAACCTTTGGTAGGAAATACGTCTATCTGAACGTAGGTTTACGCAGACCTATCCGATGGATTTTCCTTCTCGCTGACGTCACAATGCCCATTATTGACACGGACCTACTTAATCATCATGATTTACTCGTAGACGTCCGCCGAAAACGACTGACTGATAATACTACTAGTCTGTCTATCAAAGGCATTACCTACATAGGCCCCAGCTTGTCACCCGTTAAGATAAAGGCAATCCTTGATCCAACTTTTCAACCTATTGTTGACAAATATCCGGAGCTTAATTGCCCGTCTAACGACCTGCCGTGCATAACCAGCGATGTTATGCACCACATCATTACCACAGGACAACCAGAGCACGACGACTGGCTCCTGACAAACTGAGAATCGCTAGGAATGAATTTGACCATATGATTACTCTTGGCATCATTCGACCTTCGAATAGCCCATGGGCGTCCCCACTTCATATGGTCCCGAAAAAGGATAGCAATGATTGGCGACCCACCGGTGATTACCGGCCAATCGGTGTTTTGGTTTTACGTCCGTTATTACTAAGCGTTTCTGAGAAACTTCAAGGAACAGCGCGAGTCCCAGTGTAGGAAGAGCTAGGCATTGACGGTTTACGAGAGGTGGCTGACACAGGACTTAACGGCAACATCTTAAGGCTCAGCTATATTCTCTAAAATCGACTTGGTTAAAGTGTATAACCAAATCCCGATGGCAACAGAAGATATTCCGAAAACGGCTACCATTACGCCCTTCGAACTTTTTGAATTTCTACGCATGCCATTCGGTCTCCGGAATGCAGCCCAAACATTCCAGCGCTTCATCGATGAATTATTGAGTTGCTATGTGAACCTAAAAGCTAACACTGTTCTGTTAATCAATTTTTCTGTTTTCTCTCTTACCCCTCCCCCTCTTTTCAACTTTAAAAGCGTATAAATTGATGATGAAAACTTAAACTAAAAACATTGTAATGCTTTCATTTAGATGCGTCAATTTTATAGTATCTCTTTTCTACCACCACTCGAACATTAAAGTATGTTATTATCATCTATATAACCATTGTAATTTCAGGTAGTCTGCAGCTGATGAGAACCTGTGAAATAGAATGATATCATTTTATACTGCAAATTTCGTCTTCCTTTCTTTATCGAAAGAGATGAATTATTTCGTGGTCTCGACTTTGTATACGCATGCTTAGACGACTGCCTCATTGCCAGTCCAGACAAAGAAACTCACCTTAGACATTTGGACTTGGCATTTGAAAGGTTACGCCAAATTGGTGTTACCATTAATATTCTAAAGTGTCAAATCGGTGTTGACTCACTCGACTTCCTGGGTCACACTATTGACTGCAAGGGCATTCGCCCACTGGCTACTAAGGTCGAGGCTATACTGAACTTTCCAGAGCCACAGACTGCGAAAAGTTTCCCACTTTTAACAGCTTGGTAAGTTATTATCGGCGCTTTATTCCCAACTCTGCCTCTCTGATTCAGCCATTGACAGACCTTCTTCGAGGGAATAGCAAGTTCATAGAACTTGACGCGTCTGCTCGAAATGCTTTTACCCAGGCTAAAAAAGCTATTGCGAATGCCACACTTCTGATGTATCAGGATCCAACGGCACCGTTAAGTATCTCGGTTGATGCATCAAACACTGCAATCGGCGCAGTTCTACAACAGCTAGTTGACAATGAGTGGCAACCACTCGCCTTTTTCTCCAGGCGCCTTCAATTAGCTGAAACGAAGTACAGCACATTCGGCAGAGAACTTCTGGCTATGTATTGTGCTATACGTCATTTTCGACATTCAGTAGAGGGTCGTGAATTCATAATTTTTACTGATCACAAACCACTGACGTACTCGCTGAACTCACCTTCAGATAATTATTCACCCAGGGAATCACGACAACTGGATTACGTCTCACAGTTTACATCAGATATTCGCCATGTATCCGGAGTAAACAACACTGTGGCAGATGCCTTGGCGCGCGTTTGTTCCCTCACCCAAATCGATGGCATAGACCTAGTAAAACTGGCTCGTCTTCGAAAAGAAGTGTAGTAATTTATTGTAATATGAATAGTAGTATTTCGAGATGACGGAATTACAAGAATCCAACCAAAACTCAGAGAGGGCAGCAATCAGGAATTTGTATTTAGCGGAATTATTATTCAATTTATATATGAAAATATTAACAATCAACAGTAAGTATTTAAACAATACAAAGATAGAAATAGTCAATCACCATATCCGCCACACGTTGAATGTCTCCTTGCGTATTTATAATGATATCGCGGTTTGCTTGCCAGTCTCTGCGATCTTCTAACTGATTCGGTGATATCATTTCCATCAGTATCATCTAGACTTATTTCTGAATTATCTACAAAGTCGGGATTAGTAGCGGAGTCATTATAATCATAATCGGAACGACCTACCTCATTTATTCTCACTTGATCCAAGTGTCTGTTATGAACTGAATTATCTTCGATGTCTAATATCTTCACCATTCGATTTCCCATTCTTTGTAGTATGATACCAATAGAAGGTCTATAATCATTCCCTCTGTAATAATGTACATCAGAAGTCGTGGACATCAGATGCTTTCTGAGAATTCGGGATTTGAATAGTTTTGCAGGACTTTCACGGGTACTTGTATGCTCCGCATTGTGATATTGAAGTAAGAAGTTATACACACATCTCTCTAGCTCATCAAAATTTTGAGGACTCATTGATGCTATAGCACTCTTTAATGTTCGTACAAAATTTTCTGCCAACCCGTTTGACTGCGGATGACGTGGTGCGGTGTACAAATGACGACAACCTATATGTTTGAGCCAATCATTGAAGTTCTTCTCCGTAAAATGAGTACCATTGTCAGTAACTAAGACATCTGGAATTCCTTCTCGACTAAAAATCTTTCTCAACGCTCTGTGAGTGAATTTGGCATTAGGACTATCTGTAATGATGACTTCTGGCCATCTAGAATAAGAATCCACAATAACTAAAGCATAATATGAATTTAAGAATGGACCACAGTAATCTGCATGAATACGCTGCCAAACCTCACAAGATGCAGGCCACGGTGTCCACGATGACTTCCCATAGGACATTTTATGTAAACAGCTAGAACAGCTCTTTGATCTTTTGTTAATGTCAGCATCAATTTCCGGCCACCAGCATGTTAGGCGTGCTAATGATTTCATCTTATCAGCTCCTAAATGAGCAGAATGTATATCATCCAAAATTGCAGATCTTAAAGTTGGAGGAATAATAATTCTGTCATTCAGACATAGAAATCCTTCAGGATGGACTGAAATCTCATCTCTTCGCTTATAAAAGTCTGGAAATCTTCGCTTACACTGAACATTCCAACCTCTTTTTGTTGCATTTATAACACATCCGTAATATTTCCGAGTATCACTTATAAGTCGAACTCGATCCACCGGTAACGGCTGGACTAATAAGCAATCAGTATCATTAGCAATATTTTCAAATAATGAATAACGAGATAAGAAGTCTGCATGAGGTATATCCTTTGCCGATCTATGTTCAATAGTGTAATCATATGCACTTAGTTCTAAACTCCATCTCTGAACCATAGCAGCAGATGATTTATTCAAAGATTTTTCTGGATTGTAAATGAATTTCAAAGCTTGATGATCAGTAACTATGTGAAACTTAGTACCAAAGAGATACTTGTGCAAGCGTCTTATTGCCCATACAACTGCTAAAGCTTCTTTCTGGGTTTGTGAGTACCCTTGTTCACTCTTACTTAGACGTCTTGAAATACAAATAACAGGTTGTCCATTTTGCTAAAGTACTGCAGCTATACCCATAGGAGAAGCATCTGTAGTGAGAACAGACTTATCTTTCGATGAAAAAGGTCTTAAGAAAGCTTGTTTATTAAGAAACTCCAAAGTTTTTCTCAAGATATTCTCATGTTGTTGTTCCCACTTAAACTGTTTACTGGAGACAATGTCAAAAAGTGGAGATAACCGTTGAGTGAAATTGTGAATGAATCTGGAGTAAAACTGAAGAGTACCTATCCATGATCTCAACGATGACATATTATTAGGTGACGGTGCTTGAATTAGAGGTGCCAAACGACTAGCATCAGGTCTGAAACCTTCGGAGTCTACTGTGTATCCCAAGCATGATACAGACGACAAAGTGAAATGGCATTTAGATGGATTAACAAGAACATTATTCTCACATAAACGCCTGAACAGTTTTAAAAGACGTTCATTATGCAATTCGATATTAGGACCATGAACTATAAGGTCGTCTTGGTATGACTCAACACCATCTAATCCATCTATCATCTGATTTATTACATTTTGAAATATTGCAGGTGAAACCTTTAAACCAAAAGGCAAGAACTTATACTTGAACAATCCAAATGGAGTATTAATGGTTGTTAATGCACTAGACGCCTCATCAAGAGGAATTTGCAAATAGGCATCTTTTAGATCTATTTTTGGAAAGTATCTTGAGCCATGTAGCTTGTAGAGAATGTCTTCAGTTTCTAGAGTAGTGCAACTTTGCTGTAGTAGACGACTATTGAGTGTAAGGCGGTAGTCACCACAAATTCTAGGTGTTTTTCCATCAGCCTTTAGTGGCGTAACAATAGGAGTAGCCCAATTTGAAGACTCAACTGGCATAAGTATGCCTTGCTCAACCAACTTGTCTAACTCTTTCTTAACTGCATCTCGCAATCCATATGGAATTAATCGGCGTTTCAGGAAGATAGGATCACCCTCTATTTCAAGATGGATGGGCTGAATCTTCATACCACCTACACTCTTTGAGCATTGGAGAAGTAATTCTCTGAACAAAGATTCATCAAACAACTCAGTACAAAGTGAAATTTCGACATTTAACAATCTAAGGGCTTTTAATCCCAATAAAGATGGACCATATTCACTAACAAGAAAGGGAATATTTACAAAATTACCACTGTCTGATTTCAAAGAAATGTTAGTAGCCCCGATAAGAGGTAATTTATGACCAGTTATGCCTGTAATTGAACTAGTAGTAGGATCTATCTGGACATTCTTACAAATCGATTGTAAATCTTTCTTAGAAATTATAGATTCAGTACTCCCAGTATCAATTATAAAACAATGGGACTTGCCTGAACTTGTAGTGAAGGTTCTCATTAGATGAGATTGAGTATTGGGAAAAGTTGAAAGAGACATCGACTGCATTTTACCAGATAAATTGGAAGAATTATCAGGATTCTCAGTAACATATGTATTCGAACTTCTGCACACAGTCTTGATGTGTCCAACTTTACCACATTTGTGACACTTAGCACTCCGAAAACGGCAAGTGCTTCGTAGATGTAACTTTCCACAGGATAAACACGGTTTAATGTTTTTGATCTCTGGCTGCATTCTATTACCTGTGGACGGCAGTTTGGATTTATTTCCATGAATACTTGTATTTTCGACTTTAGAAAGCATAACATCAGACATTGACGTAGTGGGAGCAGAGTATTCATTATTGACATCTTCATATGTAATACATACATCTTTAGCAGTTTGAAAAGTACAAGAAGGAATCTGAATTAACTCTTTCTCTAACTTAGGAATATTGATTCCAGCAATTAGACGATCACGTAGTTGAGTATGCAGCTGATCTCCAAAATTACACTTTGAAGCTTGTATTTGGAGTTGTAGAATAAAGTCTCTTATCTTCTGATTGGGAGAACGTACCAGTTTGTTGAACTGAGCCCTCTCTCTGGTCTCAAAAGTAGTTACATGGAAGTGATCTATAAGAAGTTCACGGAGCTTAGCATATGGCAGAGAAATGGGTTTATCTGGAAACGCCAGATTCTTCACTAGGCTATATGCATCAAGCCCAATAGCAGTGATGAAATGAGCTGGTATTTTGTCATCCCAAACATTCTTGGAAATGCACCACGCATCGAAGCATTCCAAATAATCAGCAATCTCCCGCGGAGACCCATTATTGGGAAATTTTCCCAGGTTACTTAGCTCCATCGCGACGCCAATTTGTAGTAATTTATTGTAATATGAATAGTAGTATTTCGAGATGACGGAATTACAAGAATCCAACCAAAACTCAGAGAAGGCAGCAATCAGGAATTTGTATTTAGCGGAATTATTATTCAATTTATATATGAAAATATTAACAATCAACAGTAAGTATTTAAACAATACAAAGATAGAAATAGTCAGTCACCACAAGAAGATACCGAGCTTCAACATGAGTTGTCAAAAACAACTCTACAACTAGCTGAGAAACCCTTAGGTATGGGAAGAGATACTATTCTTTGCGACATTTCCACGAGTACCCCTCGCTCCATCGTGCCTGAAAGTTATCACCGTAACGTCTTCAATACGTTGCACGGCTTATCTCACCCAGGTATTCGAACTACTGTCAAGCTCGTGACTAGTCGGTTTTTTTTTAGCCTGGTATTAATAAAGAAGTAAGGGAATGGGCACACAAGTGCTTAGCTTGTCAAAAGTGCAAGGTAATAAGAGACACCAAAAGCCTACTTGGCACCTTTCTTCTCCCTGACGCTCGTTTTGAACACGTACATACAGATTTGGTTGGACCCCTTCCTGAATCCCATGGATATACCTATATTTTAACTTGCATCGAACGATTCACACGATGGCCGGAAGCAGTACCCATCAAAGATGTATCTGCTGAAACAGTCGCACACGTCTTTGTAGAAAGATGGATCGCTAACTTTGGATGCCCATCTTCCATAACAAACTGATCGCGGGTGGCAATACGAAACTCCCTGAAAACCGATGCTGGTTGTACTAGCGCCGAGCTAGTGTATGGCACGACACTACGTCTACCTGGTGAATTTGTTTCTCCCTCGAGCTTCCCACCAGCGGTAGATCACGCTTCATACGTCATCAGGCTTACAAACGCCATGCGTTCAGTTAAACCTGCTCTCCTTCGTCCACAGTCCATTGATGTTTTGTTCACCCGTGTTTAAAAAGTTCTTCACATGTATTTGTTCGTCGTGAATCTGTTCGTAGACCTCTGGAACCTCCATACGACGGACCTTATAAAGCAATTAAACTTTCGGATAAATTCTTTGTTTTGGACAAAAAAGGCCGCGAGGACACCGTCAGCATTGGCCGTCTGAAACCGGCTTACTTGGAGGGAAATCCCATTAGCGTAGAGCTCAACGTACCCCATAAACCACAAGTAACCGAAGACCGTTTAGACCTCGAGCCCCCTAAGAAAACCGTAAGGTTCCCAGAACATCTTCACAACTATATAACATAACGAAGTCGTGTGATTCACGCAACTCATCCGTTTGTGGTGCTAATTATTTTTTTAGGCGCATCAACTTTTTCGATATACAGTATCACTAAACACAGGTGTGACGGGCACTGGACAAGAAACAAACGAAGCACGGGATCCAACGACCAACATCAAGGAAGCTGTGTACGAACAACTTATTAACATAAGCAGACAAACCAGTAGGCACACCACCAAGCCTCTCGGAAGATTTTTTCACCCGAAAGGGAATTATCGAGTTCTTTTACTTCCGGTTGGTTCTGTCTTGGGGTCCTCACAACCCTACTAGGGGGTGAGTGAGCTATAGCGGTAAATAATTACCCAAAGTTATTGACCACAGAAATCACTCAACATTGGATGCTGACCACCACTGTTTAAGTCGACTTGTTTAGCTGAGGGCTTTCGGTCAAGCATCCACGCCATTTGGTACTCCGTCGTATCACGTGCGGCACGATCACTAGCCAGCTAAGCGTTCGTATAACAACTCGCTTTGGTCCCGAAATATATCGCGTAATTTGGACGACCAAATACTGTCTTTTGCTTTGCTTTAGGTACGCCACAATTAATAAGTTAGAAGTTGATGTATAAGAGATTGCGTCAATAAACTTTTGTATTGTTCGTGAACGTCTTTACCGTCAACCTATAAAATGTCTTATGTCACCCAGGAATCGGAATTTTCGCCAAGCTCATCACTAATCGGGTTTTCTGACTTGATATGAATAAGTTAGACATTGGGCTCGTACGTGCACACTAAGATTTAACGGAAGCTCTCTTACTCCAGATACCCGCTCTGACCATGTTCATAGTGAAAAGGTTGGATTCCTTCTAGAATCTAAAGGATATGCTCATATTTCGAGTTTCCTTGACCATTATACTTCAAGACCCAAAATATTACCACTCAAATAAGTATCTTCTGAAACAGTCGCACGTGTCTTTGTGGAGAAATGCATTGTAAATTATGGATGACCATCCTCCATAACAGTAAATTGCTGGCGGCAATTCGAAAGCGGACTCTTTTCAGTTTAGAGTAATCTCTTAGGCTGCATATATTTCAGAACAACAGCCTACCACCCGCAAGCAAATATTACGGTAGAACGTCTCTACTGACAGTTGGATTATCAGACGAAAGCTTGTTGCGTGCGTTGTCTGACTAAACTGCCGTACACATATATTCTAGCATTTCTTCGTTCTTATTGATGTGCGCAGACGTTGTGGCTACTCGACGCCCACAACGTAAATCAAAAGGCGCTTGCGAAGATTACGAATGTGTATTCTAGCAGTAGTCAAATTCGAAATTGTGTGTCAAGGTAATGTTCAACCGTAAATTGACAAATGTTTGCGAAGTACATATAAAATCGGTCTGTATACACATATAATACAAGTTTACAAATTAGATTAAAAAGCATGTTTACAGTTGGTATAGGGGTACTACATAATTCCCCCACCAGAACACTGAAATATATAAAAAAAAATACATTTAAGTGTTCGAAAATAACATGCGTCAGCGCAATACGTAGCAGCGATAGTACACAGAAGGCGATTTATTAAGCTGAAAAATGAGCAGTTTAATGCGGTTAATAACGTCGATAATAAATGCGATAATCTAGGGAAAGAGGAATTCCTAATCGTAATAGAATATATACGGAACGATAAAATTGTCCGGGGATCTGTAGTCGGTAGACGAAAACGATACGTGAATAATATACGAGATGTGATTAAATGTAATAATACAGGAAATATCGATGTTAAAATAATAGTGACGTGATTTATGTATGAAAATATTAATCAGTTAAATGAGTAATCAAATGACAATTACGAATAAAGATAATAAAAGTGAAAATTCATAGTAAGTTATATTTCGATGACTTGCACGTAATGTTTAGGCCAATGGACTCGTCTACCAGATCGTGTTGTTTTCGCAGGTTTCTCTGTCGACGTTGAAGCTTGTGTGGATGTAGGTGTTGGCACGTCGTTCAGCTGGTTCTTATCGTTGACTTCGAAATCGTCGAGGAACGCTGGTTTGACTCTGTCGATGCTGATGGCTTCTGTTTTATTCAATCTTTCTATCGTGATAACTTTCGCGTTTCTGTTTAGAACTTTGAATGGGCCATCATAGGCGGGTTGAAGTGGTTGTTGTACACCTTCTCTCCTGACGAAGATGTGAGTGCAATCTGTCAGTTGTGACGGGATGTATGACGCTCGTTCCTGCTGACGTGGAAGTGATGTCTTTAGCTCGTTCATGTGCTGTCTTAGCTGGTGCACATAGCCAGTCATACCGTGTGGAACTTGGTTACCTGGGGTGAAAAATTCTCCTGGTAATCGTAATGTTGTTCCATAGACTAGTTCGGAAACGCAGCAGCCAATATCTTTCTTTATAGCATTTATTTATTTATTTAAACGCATAAAAAACTTGGTACAACATGGCACCAAGAAAGATGCGCCACACAATAATAATAAAACAACATAGATCAAAAATAAGGAAGGAAAGGAAAAAATATAAGTAGAGAACGGATAAAGAACTTCATTTGGAAAGAAAACAGTCATGCTTAACAAGTTCAAACAGTGTTCGTTGGCTATCATCGGGAAGGGAAGAAAGAAGGAAATCGCAACACATTCGCCACTGATTACGATTCTTGGCCATATCCTAAAACGTTTCGGGCCATCCATTTGAGCCATCTCTCGGACCCCAACCAGGGAGTTGTGACACACCAACCGGTGCTAATCTAGCACAAAAATCCTTCATCCCACGACGCCACGTCATGGACTGACCACCTCTCCGCCTTTTCCATCCCATCCCAGGACTAGCGAACAGAGACCTGTACGGAAGCCTCTGGGGTGGCATTCGGCGCACATGTCCAAGCCACCGGAGCTGGTGTTTCCAGATGACGACATTCAATGAATGGTGATCTCCACTTTGTTCAAACACACGCCGCCGAACCTCAGAATTACTCACGCGATGATGCCATCGAACGCAAGCAATCCTGCGGAGACAGCGATGATTGAACACGCAGAGTCGCCGCACATCCTCAGCTCGGAGAGGCCAGGTTTCACAGGCGTAGAGCAGCGCAGCCCGCACCGAAGCATTGTATACCCGACCTTTGACAACCAGGCTAAAGTCGCGACGGCGCCAGAGGTGGCTCAAGTTGATGTATGCCCCCCTAGCCTTCATTATACAGTTAGAAGTCTCATCCGTCACCCCTCCGCCAGCACTCACACAACTACCCAGGTACAC